CATGGCAAAATACACGGTTAAAATACACATGTTCACCCTATTGAGACCAGTTGTTATGGTGGAAACTTTGGCCGCTTTGCGGGACGGGAAAATATCATCAGATCGGAATGAAATTTTGCACAGAACCTTGTACCATAGTATCGACAAGAATTCCGACCCGGCCCGACGAATCCGACAAACTTTTTTTTTTGCCATGAAAATGTGGACCACCCTAATATATATATATATTTTTTTTTTTTGCAAGATATTCTTTTGCCCAGCATTACAGTTATCAGCATAATGTTTCACAAAACATAGTATGTGGTTCAACTAAAACCAGCAAAATTAAATAAATGTACTTGCAACTGAGAGATAACTTGTTTTAAAAAAAAAATCCAATGTGTGTCAAGAAGCAATAGACAGCGATCTGCAAAATGACTCAGGAAGCTGTTATGTGTCTCAGGCATGGGGAAAAATAACCAATTAGCATTAATGCATCTTCATAATTATGTAAGATGCAATGTCCACAACTGACCTATTATAATTTGAGAATACCGGCGCACCAAATGACATTACAAGTGGGAAAATAGATTTTCTTTCCACGGTAATTGATAAGAAAGACTTTCAGCTTTTATTACTTACTAATTGGTGTCCGATAATTTCATTCATTATTGCTCCCTCCTCTGTTGCATCACAAATCGTCTTACTGCTCTCAGTGGCCAAATTCCATGAAACCTCATTGCATAAACTCAACAACACATTTTCCTGTCAATGCAAGAGTCAAAATAGCTCATAGTATTATAGTTCAACACCACTGCAAAGTGCAACCAAAAAAAAAAAAAAGTAAATAAAACTATTGTTGAATTAATGCCAGACACTGTCAATGAAAATGAATATCTAATTATTCTTCAATTTCCAATCTCTTTGTTTTTTTTCCATGGAGATATGGCGATATTCAGTCCTGGGAATGGTTTCCGCTAACAGTGTTTGTTTATAGCCGTATCGACCTGCGCAACACAATGAAGTACTTACAAGAAGGGGCGGCACGATGTAAACACATCGCGGTCTGCCTCTGCCACCTCTTCAGATTACAGCTCTTGAATGCAATCCACAACATTTAACGTTATGGCAACAAACGTCCTTTGTGTTTTTCACACTTTGTCAAATTATATCGCAACTGAATTACAGTGAATCTTTAATACATTGTATTGCCGGTGGTGTGTTAAGATGCTCATCTCATCTTCTCAGTGATGGATATACATATCTCTTGTGCGTGTATGGTGCTTGTCCTGTATATTTGTGGCATGTGACTTAGTGAGCTGTCACTTATCTCCGTGTACAGACAGATGATGAACACACTCTCTCTCTCTGTCTCTCTCTCTCTCACACACACACACACGCGCGCACATGCACACACACACACGCACACACACGCACATGCACACACACACAAGCAGATTTGTCAATCATTTTCCTGGAATTCCCATTACTCTGTTACGTTTTGCCCATGCCTTCATCTCATCCTACTTTCCTGTCCTCATCCCTCTACTCAGTCTTTCATCATTCTCTTATTTTCTTTCCTTTTTAAAAAACAGTCGGTTTCCCTGGAAGTATTTTTTTTTTCCCTTCCCGTGGGCCTATATGACCCCCGCCCCCCACCACCACCACCTTCTCCCTCTTCCCGTCGCCGCTCTCTATTCTTCTTCCCTCCCACTCGCACATCTTACTGGGAGATTAAATGTCGGAGGAGAGGTCTTGTGCAGGAAAAGAGAATGTCTCTTTTAATTGTGTTGATGGCTAATTAGGCACTCGGTCTCCTCTCCGTGCAGTGTATTGAGTAAAACAGATGCCCTTTCCTGGGTCAACAGGGCAGAGGCGTGCACGTAGCGTGTGCTTGTTCGCACACACTTCAAACCTCCAAGAGCCGCTCGTACATTTCTCTGTGGACTGTTCGACCGCAGCTGATTGAAAAAGGTTTTGGGTTAGCATCGTAAAAGGTAGGCTTTGCTTAAAAACAGACATATGTGAGAAACAATCAGCATGGTAACTATTCACCACAGATCGCCTGTTTCAATTAATGCGTCCGGCTGTTTTACACAGGAAGCGATGATGAATCATATACCCAGCAGCCCTCAGGGGTGAGCTATAAGCCAAGAAAGAGAACTTCCCAGAACAACTGATTAAAAGCACACTTAATTCTGATTTTATCAACGATGTCATGAGAGGACATGGCTCAGTCGGTACATTATGTCATCAACACGACAGGATTATAAACCCAATTTACCCACATCCCACTAAAGTTAAAAACGAATGAATGAATTAAAGTGGCCATCTGAAACCATACGGCACTCAGTCATGAAAAAAAATGAATTGCCCCTTTTGTAATGATCACTCTTAATATTGTTCGAGGAAGAATGATTATATCTATTTTTTTGTGCTACAGCGCTTGATACACTTACGATAAATAGTCACTCTTATACAGCTGTAGATCTTGTAGCATTTTTCAGACTCAGAACTGCTGGCTGACGAGCACTGAGGAGAATTGAAAGAGACACGTGTATATGGGAGAGAGCAAAAAAAGACAAGCACATGGCTACAACTCTGAGGAGCGGCAGTTTCATATCATATTTAGCCAACAAAGTTGACACGTGTGTGTGAAAGTCTTGTTTGAGCTCTGTGTGGAGGTACAAATGTCAGCAGACACAATCGTAAGATAGTACTGAGCACTGCTGCAAGGATATCCACTAAAATGGCCGACGTGCAGTTCCAAAAAACAATATTCCGAAATAAATATCACCCGATGGCTTATCAATGTATATTTCATGAGAATATCAAGGATACATTCAAAAAAAAGTTTTCATCAGTTGTAAGTGTACATAAAAAAAGAAAATGAAATGGTATCCAATTATTCAATGAATCGATGGAACAATCGATAGAATAATGGGTGTTCAACTTGGGGCCCGGGGGCCAGGTCAGGCCCGCCAAGCATGTTGCTCCGACCCGGGGAAAAAGGAAAAAAAACCCACAAACATAAAATAAATGAAAGTCTCATTTTCATGCCATTCAACTTCGAGCAACAGCATAACTAAAGTATATCTTTAAGTTACTGCACGTTGCTCTGTGGAAATTGAGTGTATGAATGGATCTCTATATGTCGGTTTTCTGTTTTTTGAGGTCAGAAATGACTGGTTGGGGCATCGTCTATAGGCTATCATGCTTTTATTTGCCATCGTTGGTGCTCAGTATTGTCCACACGTCAGACATAAAAAGGCAGTCGTTTCTGCCAGTGGATTGTTCTCAGCGGGCAACACTAATGAGTTTTTCTCTTGGTTTCCTTTTAGCCATTTGGAGTCAGAGCGCAGTGTCCTCAAAAGGAGAGAATGGGAGAGGAGGACCCAGGAGGTACAGCAGGATGAAGATTTGTTCTCCACTGGATTCAACCTGTTTGGGGAACCTTACAAAGTAAGTAAGAGTGACTGATTGGACCCTCCATAGTTTTGGATTACAGTCATAGTACTGAATTCATGTTTGGGAAACTGTTGATTAATTATGTAAATAAAACATAAACAATGAATTCTATAAATATTACAGTTTAAGCGATAGATTTGACATTCCCAACCAGGGGTGGTGTGAAAGTGATGTATTGCTACTCATAATTGCAATTTTTCCACGAGCATAAAAAAATAAGACTTTAATTATTCAATAATTAAACATCATTTTACTAGGCTTTTAACAACCAGTTTTTTTTCTGAATTTAATTTACACATCTATTTAATTGAAAATAGCTTTAACTTCCGGCCGTGCAGATACAGCCAATCATAGAAGCAACTCGCAGGCAGACGTATTGTTTGAACTGACACGGAAATACAGTAGCTCCTTTGTTGATGAGACTCACAAAGCACTTGCGAAAGGAGGAAAAAAGATATACCGCGGTCATGCCGAATGTGAGTTGGGCTATTCTCCCGTGTCAATATAGGTTGCGTAGATTGGGGTGAATCTGTACAGCTACACCAGAGCCAGATGGCTTTGAGAATGTGCTACCTCCTCACATACATACCAGGTAAAAAGTGACAAACAATGCAGGACAAAAAAAAAAAAAAAAATCAATGCCGTCTGTGGGCACCGGGACTCGTACAGCACAGCCAGCTTCCAATACGAGCCAAGAAGGCGGAGGTGCAGGCTACTTGGCGTAGCTGGTCAGTAACTGTGTGTGTGGACAGATGTTAAACCAAGACAGCATTAGTTTGAGCAAAACCCCCGGCCACCTGAAGGGATATTATATACCTGTATAAAATGAAAGGGTTATTTTGAAGCAAGATTATTTATTGGCCTTCTTCTTCTTCTTCTTATTATTATTATTATTTAATCTTGGAAAATGGACTTCCCCCAAAGTGAAAAAGTTACTTTTGGACAGAAAGTTAAAGACGTTAAATGATGTAAAGTATTTTCCACCTCATGCACAGTTACTTTCTGGATGCTACGTGGTCTCAGGCTGTCGCTAACTAGAAAGTTTTATACCAGCTGTTAACATTTGATTGAGTTTTAGACAAGAACAACTGGACATGCTTGACATGAGCCTTTCATTTAGGTCAATAGGATTGTTTTACAAGATCTTAACTAATGAGGATGGCTTTGTGATTCAAGCCAATCAGCTAAATATTATTGCAAACCTCTGACTAAACTTACTATTCTATACTTTGTATACTCCAAGCTGAACTTACCTGAAAGTTAATGCAAAATAAAGCCAGTAATGGCCTTAAAGTAGATCATTATAGGCTTCTATTTTCACTGTTTTCCCCTGTGGCCAACTGTTGTACGCTCAAGCATAAGATTCTCCGCACCTTCGAGACACTCAGAATGTGTTGAGTCATGCATCCAAGTCCACGGCCACCCACTGCCCCCTGTGTATAAAATGGATTCTGAAGATTTGACTCTCATTCTCTGCAGCTAAGCACTTCACTTTATTTTGCCGCCAAGAGTGTCGACCTTGGGACATGCTGGCTTTGAATCTTGACAAAATGCGCACGTGTGCTTGTCAGAACACATGAGAAACAGAGCGGGCTCTGTATTAGAAATTGATCAAGGTTGATTTTTGAGGGTGCCACATGAGCGGTTACACCGATAATGAGAATGCCTTCAGGTTTCCATTAATTGTTTTCAAGTCATTATTAGTGCTCAGTTCAGGTCAGGATATGGTTGTATGGGAGAGAATGATTGGGCGACACACCATTTCATCACTTCTGAAAAGGTTAAATGATTGAACAACAATGAGAACGCGAGGAAAAAAAAAGATCGCCCCCTCTAACCTATCAAGATAAAAGATATCATTTATTTATCTGGCCTGGCCTGTTAAAATTAGACGGCTATGACCTCAGATGAGTAGCAACACTTGGTATACTACTGTAGAGTATGCTGCAAAAGTGGAACTTTTTCTTATTCTGAATATGGACTTTATCTAAGGCAGGCAAGCAGCGAGGAGAGAAGTTCAAAGAAGAACGTTCAGGGTAAACCTCACACAACTATGTAGGGGAATGCCGACTGTTGAGGAAGTGCACAGTGTTTTTGTATTTAGTCAATGGAAGCAACCCTGCTTGTATTCAGCCCCGCGAACAAACACACAAGACAGGTGGTGCATGTTTCTGTCGGCAGCAAAACCGTCAGTTTGAATGTGCGTCCCGCCAGTAGCGAGCACGCTCACTCAGATCACCTGTAACTTTAATGAGGATAAGCAGTATGCAAAAATGGGTCGATGAAATAGCCTTTCATCTTCATAATTCTCTCAAAGCACCGAATGTTAAAATGATGGCCGCAGTTTGACCATGGAATGGATTTTCATTAACAGTGTTTTACTCACACTTCTATTATATTATGAATTCAACATACTGCTTTGAAAACATATTGAACACAATTAACTACAAAGTATAAACTCACCCATGTACATTAAAAAAAATATTTTTCAAAGCAATACTAAGAGCCCCTAAATTTGATGGGCTTTAGAATTAAGATGTATGTTTTCTTTACAATTCACCAAGGAATAAAGACATTTTAAGCAATGGTCTTGAAGATCCAATTTGCTGCTGCCCATCAATGTTGAGTGAGGAGTCGCCTCTACACTGAACAAGTGTTTTCTATTACGACAGTTTTAAAAAGTCACTTCCTTCTAAGATCTTCCACGAGAAAGCCTTTTCTTTCAAAAACGAAGAGGGCAACACGGCTCACATTGGATTTATAAAGTTGCATCTGAAAAACTACGTTTCATGACATTAAGATTTTTCTGTACATTTGAACTACAGTCTATTCCCAAGAGTTGCACTATGTTAAATACCGATATGAGATTATTTGCATTCGAAACCAACCAAACAAACAAATGGGAAGTGAATTTTAGTGCATTTCAGAATTGACTTAAATAAGAGGCATTCAAAGTGTTGGACAGCGAACCTGCGTTGCGAGAACATCAAAAGGTGACACTGTTGTGTTTCTATTCGATCTTATGATGCATAAATTGACAAATGAATTGTTAGAAACACCTCTCAGTATGATTCAATACAGTTGTACGTCACTGTATCCGACACACATTTGTGAATTCAAACCCATTTTCTCAAAGACAGTTGAAATGAAACTTGAGCTATTGGTGCAACTCTTGAGCTGCGCAGGTCAACCTAAAGCTGTGACCATTTTGGAGAAAATGTGATGGATGGGGCATTTTGTTAGCCTTGAGGCCGAAACGCTGACTTGACCATCCGCAGGGGTTTATGTTTATTTGCTTCATATTCCTGCGTCCCTCCTCCATACAGTACATGCCCTCGCTGTTGCTCAGCTCTTACTGCTGTGACTCATGACAAATGGTTCTGGCATCCTCTGCTCCTTGGCTCTGCTGATTTATTTGTCTCGCTGAAGATTTCAGTTTTTACTGAAGGTGTTGCTTTACAGATACATACAGTAATAGGGACTCCTCAATCTCACATCCCACTCTGGCTCAGTGCGTGGGGAACCTTCGAGATTTATATCTCTTCCTTATCACCAGGGATTTATAGAAAACTTTCTTCTCAGTCGTTTTTTTTTTTTTTTCATTTTTTTCCTCCATCACTCTGCCTTCATATCAGTTGGGTGTCTGTCACTGTCTGACTTTCTCATTTACTTTGACTCTGTCAGCTATTAGCTAATCCCCTCGCTAATCCTGTTAAAGAGCCATATTTTGTTGGCAGTTATTTTGGGGTGAGCTTGTCACACACACACACACACACACACACACACACACACACACACACACACACACACACACACAGCCACACGCGCGCGCGTGCGAGCGAGCAGACATTTACACAAATCCAGGTATTCATCCCTGTCTCTGTTTTCCATTTGCCTCTTTGTGAATTCTCATCCATCCTGTTTTCTCATCCTCTTCAGCCACAAGATTTTTATTCATGAGCTGGAGATGGAGAAGACACATGCTAATTTATTCGCCGCTAACTTCAGCTCGCAATTGTTTGTTTCGTGCAAGTGTGTGTGTATAAAAAATATATACATTTGTTTGGCCTGCGATTGGCTGGCAACCAGTTCAGGGTGTACCCCGCCTGCTGCCCAAAGACGGCTGGGATAGGCTCCAGCACGCCCACGACCAGATCAGATAACGGATGGATAGATTTGTTGAGATTTGAATACAAATGTAAGACTTTTGAAAGTATAAAAACATTTGAGAGTCCTACTGCTTTGTTTCAGTGCAAAATGACACAATATATGAAAGTTATTTATTACATCATCCGCAAATGGAGTTCTTGCAGTTCCTTATAAAAAAATAAAAAAATTGGCACAAGTCGATCCCCTCCACCGAATCTGTTTATACGTCCGCCGTGTAAACCGTGTGCTTCTCTTGCACTGAATTTAAAGGGAATGAGTGGCCAGGAAGTAAACTTTTGTTCACTCCAAAAACGCCACACATTCTTTTTTCTAACTGTGCGCGTCTGCAAAAATACCACAATCACGAAAGTTAGACCGTGCTCTGCACTAGGCTTGCGCTGGCCATGAAAGTAGGGCCCCATTGCGTCGAGTAAAAAAAAAAAAAAACGAACAAAACTTTATTACATGTGTCTCATTAACCAGAAGACGTGTACATATACTACTATACATAGATGAGTTCTTCCTCTTCTTTTATGTGGTATCTTCCATTTTCTGTAGAGTGATTTTCTTACCAATGTATTAGGCTCATTTGCTTATTGATTTATTTAAACTCACACATTTCCTTTTTATTTGCTCCATACATCACTTTAACTTTCACAGGGTGCACAAATCAGATTCCAAATTTATATTGTCCGACAGAATTTGCTATATGAGGAACGTCTGACCTCTTTGTCTCATTTATTGGACAATGAATTGACAAAGTAACTGAAATAATCCACAAACTAAATCACAGCATAATTGATGTGTAGTTAACCGGCACTTCAGTGATCCATGACTGAGGGCAGAACTGAAACCATCCCTGACAGTCAAAGGCAGCAATAATACTTTGCAGTTGTAATTATCATCCAATGATTAAATTGCACTCATTTAAAGCAAATCAATAGTGGGGATAATCTTCAAGCCTGCAAGCTTTATAAAACGCACTCTTGCAGAATTCCCAGCTCAGCAAGATCTCTCCGTGGATCATTGCCTATTATTACTCTGCATGATTGTTGACAGAAACAAAACCGACACACACGCACAAAAGTACAATTCTAGTGACGAATGCTTCAACCCGTTGAGCAAATTAAAGCGTGACACCAATAGTTTCACTCGAGTCATTATCAACAAATTTCCTCTTTATTTGTATTTATTTTTGGGTTGTCTGCCATTTGTCCATGTCTTCATTGAATTATTGACAGGTACCGTAGATGTGTTCATTTTTGGCTCATGATTAATATCTGCAACATGTGGTTGAGAAGACACACGAGGGAATTAGGGAACAACCACCGCTCTTTACGTCTTCGCCTTTCGGAAAGGATCTCGAGCTGAAACGGCGAATGATGAAATGGTGTGGTTTCATCATTAAAGAACCTGTCAAAGACTCTTAACTATTCCGGGGAACATCTCAGCATGAGCACATAACAGCTAAAGGGGCTTTTGGATCATAAATCAGTCGAAGCCAGACTGTCCTCCTCGCGATGATTTCTTGAGAAGCGGAGGTCAGGCTAATAATGATTCCTGCTCCATTAGTTTTACTGCTCCAGCCCGGACTGGACCCTCTTAAGGATGGCATGTGTTTAATTAATCATCTTGTCCGGATGCCTGGTCAGTGGTCAACCAATTCATCTCTTCCTGTTCCTCTCTGAATGCGTAAAGAGGGCTTTTCATCAAGTGCTTCGAAATAAAACAGAAAGATGGAAACTTAATTAATACTCCTGTCTGTCACTTTTTCTCCCTCCTGTCTCCTCTACATTTCTTTCAGACTAATAAAGGTGACGCGTTGGCAAATCGGGTCCAGAACACGCTTGGCTCCTATGAAGAAATGAAAGACCTGTTAACCAGCCATTCGAACCAGAGCCACTTAGTGGGAATCCCCAAAGGCAGCAGTGGCAGCAACAACAGCATGCAAACGCCGACCACATCAGCGAGTGAGAGATCCGCAATGGAGTCGCAGCTTTTCAATGAGACCCCGAATGGGGGCACAGGAGCACAGGGGGGAGGAGTGGAGGGAGGCGAGGAAACAAAAAATGCAAGTGCGTCCTCGGCATCCTCAAATTCCACGCAACCTCCTGCGTCAACAACAACGTCATCGAGTGTGCAGTCATTTCCACATCAGAATTCCAAAAAGTCCAGGAGCTCCATGGAGTGGGGAAAGGGAGGCCATGCGCAGAGCACCCCAACAACGGGCCTCCCTCTGGGGATGGGGCAAGGCCAAGGTCAGGCTCCCGGAGCTGCAAATGGAAGGGGGAAAGTCTCAATGTTTGAAGAACATCAATTCCAAAGGCATGAGGAGCTTTTCAGCTCACTGAAAGATGAATTGGGTTTAAAAAAAGATTTGAGCCCTTCCTCGTCATCTTCATCCTCTTCCTCCACCTCCTCGAGGAGAGGGCATTCTTCACACCCCGCTAAGACGCTTCCTGTCACAGGTATGTCGACAATCAAAAAAAAAAAATTGTTTGTCTCTATTCCCCCCCAAAATGTTTACATATTGAGCAGCAAGCGAATTCATAAAATAAGAAAATGAGAAATAATTAGCAGTTAATGTGTCACCATAGTAATCATTGTCTTACTTGGCGCCTGCCTTAGTGCGATGTTGAATTGGTTGACTTATCAAGAGCCCAATTAATTGGATGAACAGTAAATGACACAGTACAGTAGGATGGTGAAAAGGCAAAAGATAAACAAAAATGAAAAATAGGTGCTGACTGAGGTAATGATGTCTACGGCAATTTTAAAAAACTTGGTTGGACACATTTTGTTGCCGGACATGTACAGGCTGCAGTTGTTATTTTGTTTTTTTTTGAGGCTACAGATTATATTTGGTCTTTTAACGTTGTGTGGAATAGTTTTCGGAAATCTCAGTCCATACATATTCCCATTCCATCTTTGAAGTTCAAGGAAGAGATTGATACAACCCCGTATTAAGTTTCAATAGCAGTTTGATTGGCACAGCTTAGCCTGAAGACAGAAAAAAAAGGAGTAAGACTCAATTAGAGCAGACAAAACTTCCCAAAAACTTTGGGCCACTGAACATTTGTCTTGAATTTTTCATCTATTTAAACCCTTGGGAGAGCAGTTTGTCTCCTTTAGTTTCCAGTTCCGTTGCCACGTGAAAAAGGCTCCGAAAAGTCGGTGGTAATGTGTACTTAAAGCATGAGTCTTGTGCTGTGGACAAATATTTGTGTGTTTAATCATCAATTATCGAATTTCAGTAAGAAGCTTTGGATGTCTGATTCGATTTCAAGAGCACAGAACAGCTCGATATGACCTTGTCTTTGTTTTTTTTCTCACACCCACAGATGGTGGACATTTTCGATCTTCGACCATGGATGCTAGTCATTGCAAATCGTCCGGCTCCCCGTCAGAAACGGAACCGAGCTCCCACCTCTCCGCGTCCTCCTCCCCGCTGGCCTCCACATCACTTTTGTCAGCACCTGTACCTGGTCTCACCACTCCCACATCTACATTCCCACTTGGTGGCCTATCAGGGAAGTCGATTGCAGTGCAGCAGAAGCCAACGGCTTACGTTCGCCCAATGGATGGCCAGGACCAGGCACCTATCGACTCTCCTCAATTAAAGCCACTTCTCGCGGCCCCAGAGGGGTTCAACTGTGGTCAACCGTACGGTGGAAACTCTGGGAACATGAAGAATAAACTGCCAAAACTGAGTCTGAGCCACACCGCGGAGGTAAGGAAACAACAACGCTTCCATTTCATTACACTCCGTAGATTCGTTTAGCAGATACATTTGTCCAATGTGGTCAATGGCATCGATGATGTTTAGTCAAAAGTTTGAAATCAACTTTGCATCATCAGCCAAGGACATCAACAAGAATATGGAGGACTTGCTTAAGGTCTAAAATATTCCATCCATTTTTTTTATACTGCTGATGCTGTTCAGAATGTGGTATAGGGCGGTAAACTCAGGGCTAATTTTCTGTCACCCACAGAATGGATATATATACATTATTTGGGGATATTGCCTGCAAAATGAGCCAATGCTGGCATATGCAAGATACTCATAAATGGTCTTGGACAAAATACTGATGGCGCTTGATAAAAATGTATTTTCATGTAATTGTGTCGTGCACTTATACATTTCATTTCCTGAGGGCCCAAATGTCACCAGTTCGTGGAATGGCCTATATACAAAGAAGCATGAGAATGAGGGATTTCTCTCTTTGAGTGCATTTGATTGATCTAATTGTAAACCATACATGTAAATGTCTAGTTATTGGTGTGTGCAGGCTAAAATGTCGAGTCCATGCAGCTCCGTAGTTAGAGGGTGTGCGTGACTTCGGCTGTTTATTCATGACTTCATGAAATGCAACCAGTGGGGAACAAGCTTGCTCGTCGTCAAATAATCGACCCTCATTAAACTTCTATTTAAAGTTCCATTGTTTGGACGTGTCACAATTGTTAACATGCCTGTTGCTCTCTCAACTCGTATGCCATTCAGTGAGGCGGCTTTTTATCAGGCAAGGCAGACTCAGGCTAGAAGTACCACAGAAGTATCTTTTTGCCTTACGCTGAGTGTTTGTTTGCCCATAGTTCGTGTCTCCTTGTTGCCGTAAACACTTTCACCTCTGCTCGCCCCAAAAATTCAAAATGGAACATTGTGTAGTATAAAAGCTCAAGCTATTACTGCTCCATTTAGCAATATATGTGTGGTTTTGGATTATTTGGTCACTGTGTGACCTATAACATTTCAGAAAATGTTCTTTTTTCCCTGAGCCGCGATCACCTGAAAACCACATGATCTGACCTTGAGTCTGATCAAATGACGGGATCGGGACTTCCCTTTTATCAATGATTTCATTGATTCAATTTGAATGGCCAGGGCGAAGGATTTGATACGATTACCCGTTCATCAATGTGTATTCTTTGCCCTGAAAATAGTCCCTTGCATAAGTCCACCACTAAATCTTGCACCTCATACGTCCTGTAGCTCTTGTTCTTGTTCAAATTGAGTTGTACTTCTGGTACTTTATACGTGGCGGCTACAGATTGAATATAATTGGACACAATTGTATTGTCAAATAAATTGGACCATATCAAACTCCGTCCAGTCTGCTCTCTCTGACTCTCTTACTCCATCTTGCCCTCCATCTTTATCTCTCTCACTTGCCTTTTCAAAACAGCATGAAACATCCAGCTAGGTGCTGTGCGTGCGTGTGTGCGTGCGTGCGTGCGCGTGTACTATGTGACAGGAGAGTAGTCATCCCTATCGAATGTAGCAGCTGTTCCTTTGCTTTGATGGAGCTGGTGTGCATGTGCATTGCTTTCTAAATGAGCCCGAGATGGAGCTTGGAGCATATGGCGCTGAAAAGGAGAAAAGCAGTCAGATGTGGGGAGACAGAGGAATTAAAATAAACTTTATCCTCGAGACTTTATTATAGAGGACTATAACGACAGCACCTGAAACCAATCAAACGCAAGATGCTTCTTTTATAGTTTTGCACCCGCATGTCAGTGCATGCTGTTAACGACCTTTACATTTCTTTCTACAAAGAAAAAAAAAAGCCTTCGGGAGACAAACTATAGGCATGGCAACATTTTTGATGAAAGATCCAGGAGCTCAAGATTTGTTGTTGCTCTTGTTTTCCCCTGAAAAGTTGATGTATAGACAGGAAATGTTTTTCCAGAGTAGTATGTTATTTTTTTTTTAATTTTATTATGAGGTTTTGAAAACAAAATCGGATCCAATTTGTTGTCATTGTGACAAAAACAAAAAAAACAAAACACTTTAGAACAGGGGTGCCCATTACGTCGATCACGATCGATCGGTAGATCACGGACTGGTCCCAAGTCGATCGCGAGGGGTGTTGAGGAGAAAAAAAACAAACAACCATTTGTGTGTCTTTGTGCATGTTAGTAATATATTTTTTGTGTTAATGTACACTGCACCCTAATCATCCTATCAGTCTCATTTTCACAAAAACGATTAAAAAAATAAAATAAAGCAGGTAAATCTTTAACCTACGGTGGCGCGCGACCTGCGTCACCGGAAGTTGTTAGCGCTCAGCAGTTTGCAATTGCAGCTTGTGATCAGAGCTGTTGCGCTCTATCTTTTGTCGTTATCATTATTCTCATTCAGAGTTTATTTCGTGTACAATTCACCGCCAGCACGGGCAAAGAATAGGAATCTAGAGGGCCGAGGGAAGCACTTTAAAATGGTATGTGTGAGCTACAATCGTTAACAGGCTGCGAAAGCTGGGTCGCATGCCTCCCTGTCAGGCTGGTGCTCATCATGGCAAGCGTGTGTATGTGCGTGTGCGTGCGCGGTAACGGGTCGATTGCGGGAGGTTGGTTGGTCAAAAAGTCGATCTTCGGTCCAAAAAGTTTGGGCACCCCTGCTTTAGAACGTAAATACAACTTTGTCAAACTTTTGTTTCCTCAAAGTTTTATCTCATGGGGGTGTTTTGTATCCATTTTTTATTTTTTTTTTTTGCGATGCGAAGTACACAGACTTGAAGTTGTGTTAGCATTTATGGAATGTTTATTCAAGATTTCGTAGAGTGTACTTTTGAAGCCGTTTGCTTCTACTGCAACTGAGAACTTGACACTGATTGAGACGTCGGCCCCTTTCACATTATCTTCTCCTCTAATTGGTGCATCAGAGGCAAAACGGCACAAGTCAGACTTTATTCACATTTAGCCTGAAGACAAGTGTTGAAGTAGAACAGAACATTGCCATCAAAGTAGATTCGGACAACTAACTGAGCGCCTACGTCAGCACCAACATCGGGGGACATTGATAATTGCCTTCAACTCAAAGGGACGCGGGCAGCGAGTCCTGGGTGTCAAACTTCTCATTTTAATCACGGCTTTCCACTCCGTGCCTCTGATACAACATCCAAAGCCGAAGAATACCCACTTTGCCATCCCACATCAGTTCCTTACAAACAGGAGAGAAACCTGAGCCATGCTGTCTCTCTCACTAAACAGTGTCATGGTTAAATAGGTAAAAGGTGAAATATTTCTTTGTGGGGATGAAGTTGTCACAGTATGACTTTGTTTATTCACATAAACACACAATGTAAAATTTTCTGTCCTTTCCGTGCACATTTTTACGTAGCGGTTTGTCTATTCATGCTTACACACATTGTAAACATCTCTTTCTCCATTCATTTCCACACATAACGCAAACATCTGTCTCAGGGGGAAACAATTACTTCAGTCCACGCATTGACAATGTCAAAGTTGGCTTTGAGCGTAAACAGCAACACCAGCTTCATGAGTGTAAAAACCAACAAAATAACCCCTAAGGACTACAAATACAGACCAGTAAATCACCATCATTGATTTTGCATGAAACAGTTTCCAAATGAGTTCATGTGCCATGAAATAGTTTAAGATAATCAATATCGGACTTGTATGCGTGTGTTTGTGCAAGTAAGCCGAAAGACTTCACGATGCTGTGGAAGCTTTCTGTTAGCACTATAGAATTATCGATTTGCGCCTTTTGTTCCCGGGTGGGGGAGCGGGGGTGTATCTGTGTGCGCACAAGTGTATATGTGAGTGTTAGAGCGGGAGATTGATAGCATTATTGATCTTTTCCTCATACGGTTACAGTAAACTTAAAGCTACTCCTAGACACACATTTACAATGCACATACGGGTGCAAAACACCCACACGCACATTGGCCAACAACAATTTAAATCTGAATATGTTTATAATTTTCACAGTACAATATCAATTCATAGTAGTATTTACTATGTTGTCATAAAATTCTATGAAATGGTTGGTACACATGCTCTATATGTCGGCACTTTAGTAGTACTGTATACTGTTTGGCAATAGCAGCTTTTGCATTTTCTTTTATATTTAAGGCAAAATTGGCAGCACACAGAAGGGTCGGTATTCCTCCAGAAGGCACAGAACAACATAATGTTCATGTTAGTCAATTCTGCATCCGCCTGGTGAATATAAGACCTGATTTGCTTTCTACCATCTCCTAAGGGAAATATCTGAATTTAATTGCTCTGCTTTCTTCAGCGGCTAGCTCCTAACATTGTCTTCCATGTGAGGCTGATGGGAGCGGGGAACAAACAGCACGAGGAAACGCTTGTTAATCAATAAGCTGTAAAAAAAAAAAGAAAGTAAGAAAATGAGACCCTAATAGGGTCACTGTTATATAGGGCCTATATAGCATTGGGTAAAAAATACTTTCCAGATACTGAAATCTCTCTGATCTTTTGTTTCAAATGAGCAAAGAAAGGCAACATCTCGTAAACCCGGAGGGATAAAAATGCTGTCAAAGACATTGATGCTTCACCGAAACACAGGTCACTGCTCTGTTACTGACGTTTGTCTGAAATATACGGATAAACAACAGTCAAGCATATTTAGACCTGTGGGTGAAGCGGCAAGAAAGTAAACTCTGAGCTGACAGGTGACATTTGCAACAGTGCTGTGACAGGTTTCCATTTCAAAGTAGTTCAAAGAATAGAGCTGATGTAATTTCACACTGATTTGAAGACCCGCTGTGGCATTTCTGTCTGTCATGTGTAAACGCGCACACGGTGCCTCGCCACTAATGTAGCGGTAAATAAGAAGCAGGATGGACTTAGACCTCCAGTCAGTAATCAGCATAAGGCGACGGCAACAAAATATATTCTGCTCACAGAGTAGGCTTCCATTTATGCCCTCCCTTTTTTTTTTTTTTTTTTGCTTGAAATAAAAGC